AACAGTACATATAATAAAATGTCTACTGCAGATTCCCTCTGGTGACAATCAGCTGGCAAAGGAGACACTGTAACCCTCAGCTGCTTCGCGAGTTGGCTGAGGTGCTGTATAAGGCTGCTGTGTTCGGTATAATGATATATCGGGTGTATTATCACAGAGGGGAGGTGTGACTGCTTGGTGCAAGTTAAGCAGCCCTCCCTCATTAGCACTGGAGCAGAGGAATCACACTGCAGCTCGGCAGCTGTGAAGGAGCCAGTGAAGCCAGAATGAAGTCACATGTGGCATGACTTCCCTTCACCATCACCCTAAAAACCTGTTCCACATTCTCATCATGCACTCCCATTTCATTGCAGAGGTTGCTTTGAAAATCACTGTATAGTTATAATCAGAGGCAGACATTTCAGGTCCAGAGAGCAAAAATGCAGATTTCATTTAAACCAACCAGTTGAGTACTCTGTGACTGTGACTCTTTTTACTCGACTGATTGGTTGAAACAAAATCCTGGTCTGGATTTTTACTTTCTGGACCTGAAATGTCTGCCTCTGGTTATAATACTTCATCACATCGTGTTCCCAGCCTTTTCCTTCCTTCTGGAATAGCATTAACTTCCAGCTGGGTCTGACACTGTGAAGGTGGATCGGGCTCTGCAATGCTTAAGGGCAAGACCCCTGCAGATGTCCTCACTGCATCCAGAGAAACCAGGGAGACTGTTCTGTTTGCTCTGCTAGTTAACACCCATCCAGAAGAGATGTGACTGCAAATTAGGTAGAACGGCACCTTCAGAGAAGAAGGAACATACAGAACCGCACACGAAGAGGGCCAAGAATTTTCATATGGAAATGCACATTGTGAATTATTCGAAGAGTCTAATTAACGATCAGCCCTGGACACTGTAATATCCTACTGCCTATATACAACACCTGCAATCCAGGATATGTGATTCCCAGTAAGCTAGGGTGACATTATGGGACTAAACATGTGATATCATTTCTAAGGAAAGGAGCTATTTGAAGCTTAACCTCAGCTGAATGAAAGGCTCTGAGTCTGTAATGACTTAAATGAAGCCTGGTGCTTGGAATAATGGCTACATATTAGGGGGTTACATGGGGTTCCCAGTGACCATCGTACTGAGCCGATACACGGCTGGGTCACGAGGCCACTGGCTGGCCACAGCTCCGTAAATCATGTGTCCAAAGCCGTACAAAATGGCACTGATGAAGCAGGAATTGCCGCTGAAGTCTGTTCCGATGGGCACTTTCACTACTTTAAGGTTACTTTTCTATGAAAAACCCTTTAATGGTAGAAGCAGCAGATTATATTTCAAATAAAGCCTTAATGGACCGTTGACGATGCCGGCCTCTCCCCGCCTTCATGTGGTTCAAGACGACCATGAACGAATCGCTTTTCTCATCTTGTTCCTTCAGAGGCAAAACATTTTCTACAACTGGTATCTCCGCCGCCGTTACAGCCCACAGGGGATGAACACCCTGGAGTGGAGGACAGGAAGCATCACGCTGCACGTTTATTGTTTTGGAACAAATTCAACCGGCTGGTATGACCAACGTGCTTCGGAATTGGGAAAAAATTGCGAAAGCGATCCGGGTTAAATATACGTTGCCATAAAAAGATCATATTCACTTAACTTCATGGCGAGCTGAAGCTTTGCAATTGTGTTTGTAGGGACTCGTATTCTCCGAAATTACATTCATAGGAGAATCAGTGCGCCATTTGTTATTCTAAAAATGGTTACAGTATCCACACCATGGTAATCATTCTGCTCAGGCTTTTTCCCAAGCTGCACTAACAGCTGGTAGCATTTTGGTATCTGCTGTCCGGGCAAAACTTAAGCTACGATTTGCACAATGCGAACAGTGACGTTCACGTTTCACAAAAACCATCCGATGCAAATGTTGCATGTTAAAAAAGCAGCATTATAATTCACATATACGAGGATGCATTTAAATGTAAGGTGTTATGATACACAGTGTGGCACAATGATGAGCATGATTCTGTGGACTAAATTAAGTTAGATGGCTTGGGTTTAGCATATCAGCCAAAAAGCTTTTGATGGACTCGTGTAGAATATCAATCAATATACCACCACGCTGCATTCTGTCCTTGTCTGTGGGGCATCAACAATCTGGTATACAACATCCAAAATAGCTGAGATGACACAAGGGCTCGCAGAACACAGCACTTCCAGTGGAGAGAACAGAGCTGCACTTGTGCTGTTTGACCGCTGCGGGAAGGTCGACCTTCAGCGCTGACACTCTCCCAAGCAGCAGTCACAGATAGCATGAGCTCATCTCACTCCTCCTCTGTGTCCTCCTCCTCCAATCAGAGCGGGACTGTCCCAGCAGCATTTACTAAGGAAGGAACCTGCCACGTTAAAGAGGAATCTGCACGCTAATTATAGGCATCATTCTCATTGTCGAAGTCGCGTGAGCAAAGCATGAGCTAATTACTTTACCATTATGATATTATTGACCTCAGTATTTGTAATAACGCTAGATTAGCATCGACGGCTAAGCTAATGTACAACTGTGCTAATTGATAGCGTACAGCTGTGTCAGATGCATACATGAATATTTGCTAAGCATTACATAAAAGGTAAATCTCCCGATTTTGAGAGCACATCCATAGTCATGTGAATCTCTATCACAGGCGGCTTGTCGGCCTGGTTTTTTCTCCCAGCAGGTACAGCGAAGTTTCTCGCCCGTTCCCACAAATACCCAGGTCTGTGTTACTAACCATCCGACCAAGATATGTTTCTGCTGGAGGCCTGTTGTGGAGAGAGAATGGAAGGGGAAGGCAGGCCGAGGAGCGGACAGCGAGTGGGCGATCGCTGAGAGATATAAATCATTAAGACATCCGCATACGCGTGGCCATAATGCCCAGACAGTGTCACTGCTGCATTATGGGAAGCTCAACCATAACAACCAGTAGATGCGCACATTGTCACCTTAATCCTTGTTTTTTTTTCTCTCAAGGCATATATGCCACCGTCTGCCCATGGACACCCCCCCGGCGTTATAGTGGTTCGGCCCGCAGGTCACGTTTCACTGCTGTTGGCAACTTACGCCCTTCCTCAGCATGACAGAATCCCCCCCCCCCTCCTCCTCCCCCCCCAGAAAGACTGCAAGCAGCAAGCTCAGGCAGGATCTTTGAGGAGGTCCTAATATAGCCCACTCCCTTGTGGTACGGTATCAGCACAATTAACGGGGGAGCACACTTTGCAGGACCATGGGGGGGGGGGGGGGGGGGTGCAGGCTGGCTGAAATGATGCAGGGCAGCATTCAGACAGACAGCGATAGGTGCAGGCAGGTTCGCTATGATTTATGTATCGAGACACGACCGCTGCTGCAGAATGTGATGCGTGTTGTGTGGCTCAGACCGGCAGTGGTGTATGGACTCTAACACAGCAGGTTAGCTTCTCAAGATCTTTGTCCTGCAGAGACCTAAGCCACTGTTCCTACAGACCTTCCTTGTCCGTCATGTTCCCATGGCTTCCACCCTTCTTGGCTGGTGGGCTTGAGAATGAGTCGTCACTCACTGGTCCCCGTTCCTCAGCGGATACCTGCCCCCACACTTAGCACTCGGACACGAGCGCAAACAGAGCAGATGCAGATTTTAGACGCCTGTGTCTTCTAACACGTCCTCAGTGTCTCTCGCTACTGGCTGCAAATGCAGAAGATAACCAACCACTGTGCCGTGCATGAAAATGAATTATTATTATTGTGGAGGCCGGCAACTTCATCCATTCAAAAGTAGCCATTCTCTGTTTTTGTTTGTGACGTGTTTTCAACTCCAAGCAATTACATTTATAATTCTGATAATAATCGGTTGCCCCCAAACCTCAAACCAAACCAAAGAATCATTCACTTGATAATTCCAATATTGACTCATATATCATCCATGCATAATTTGTTAAGACTGCTAATCAATGTATTTGGGGTATTCTCAAATGGCTTCAGTCAATAATTAGTGGCAGGGAATTGATTTTATTTAATGCTCTCCACAGTATTCATAAAGGAAAAAGAATAATTAAGTATCTAATCTTGAGCTGTGTTGTTCTTTAGTATTTCACTGAAATTTATATAATTGGGAGAAAGGATTCATAGGTTAATCTGCATTAAACAGCAGCCTGAGATGCTGAAATACAAGATGAGTTTTGTGACATGATTGGACAGAGATGCCCAAGTCTTCCAGCCGAATGATCGATGGCTTGTGGCGTTTCTCTGCCGCAACGTTAATGGCCAGATTATCCATTTGTTTTCCAGGCATTTTGATTTACTGTGGCTTGGATGAGAAGTAAATCAATTAAATAGCTACGAGAGGCAGAAAACTAATTAAGAAGAAAGCTGTTCTTAAGGGGGGCGCAGTACTGCAGTAATTTGAGCACATTGCACTACGTCTGCTGGACCTGCATCGCCATTGGAGGAGATGAGCTGGTACTAGCAGAAGCACCACAACCAAACCTGATTGATTTTTGCTAACTGTATTACTACTGGAAGATACTATTATACTAACGGTATAGGTTTTGCATCAGTATCTACATTCCCCACAGTCTGCATTCTTACAGAAAAGGTGGTAACCTTCATTTCAATGATAATTATCAATTATGTCAAAGTAAAACAAGGTCAATGTACTGGAGGATATTTGGTTGAATAGTGCCCCGACTGAGAGCAGAATAATGTTATATTCTGGGCTGATCGTGACACGATTCTTAAACGAATTATACCTCATTACACCCCATGCTGACTTTCCTCAGTCACATGTAATTTCCCAGGAACCAATCAGAGTAATATGAAGAAAACCAACTCCTGTCACAGGAAATTCCATAACGACCAACATCCGTACAAAACATCACACCAGCCAATCACAGTCAGATTCAAATACTCCGTGAACCAATGGCATGGATTTTCACACCTGTGTCCGCCGTCTTGGGGCATTCGGTTCCGCCTCGCATACGCAGTGACGCCTTTGCCTGTCCTGCTCAGGGGCCACCAAGGACATGGGCAAGATGCTGGGGGGCGAGGAGGACAAGGACCCCGAGGCAGAGAAGGAGAAGGAGGAGGAGCGGCAGGAGGCGCTGAGGCAGCAGGAGGAGGAGCGGAAGGCCAAGTACGCGAAGATGGAGGCGGAACGAGAAACCTTACGGCAGGGTATTAGGGATAAGGTGAGGAGGTGCCTGGCAGTTTGACGGCTACCGGTGTAAAGGTTGTGGGTTCAAATCCCAAAGCGCATGCAGAAATTGAACCCTTCCCTGTAGTGGATTGTTTCCTAACCTGGTCTGTACTGTACTGTCTGGGAGGGAGCAAAAACGTGGTGCATCTGAAGGTCTCCGGGGACTGGGTTGGGAAACACTGCACTAGTGCAAATCACTTTGGATAAAGATGAATGAATAAAATGGTAACATTGTATCTGGACAGTCTGCCTACAGAGGGGATACAGATTAATATAACATCGGTTGAGTAAATAGTCAAATTCAATCAAATTATTCTAAGAAAATGTAGGTATGTTAATGAGTCATTACATGTAAGGTATATATTTCATATTCTGTCAAACATCTACAGATACAGAGAAACAGCTGAATGAATTTCAACTAAGTTACATGTTGAAATGTTACAAATACTCTGTAAGCAGACCATCTAAAGTAAGTGTTACCAATAAAGTGAATAAAACTGACCACCCAAATGAGCTAATTTAAAAAAGCGAATGAAAAAGGTGAAAAGAAAGAAAATACCAAATGTCCACCAACCACTTCAGAATATAAAACTTGAAGTGTGTGAGTTAAGGTGACTGAAACAGTCACAGTGAGTTTAACATCTGCTCAAGAGGTCCTGACAGAACCAGGCCAATGAAAATCACCGGACGTCTCGGAGACCATTCGTCGCAGACACACAGTTTTTCCTCAACACAAGACTTTGGCCAGATATACTGTATAATTTAACATTCTCCATTTTCGAACAAAAATGTAATTACAGTGAGGTTAAGCTACGCAAAACCACTCTTAAAAATAAATGTTTAACACCTGAACTAGGTCTTACGAGAGTTACTTAAATTATGTAGGTCACCTTGAATAAAACACATATAAGTCAGATTTCCAAGGAGACCATTTTGGAAGTGGAGCGATTTAGGTGATAGACACTGTTTAGATGAATTGTGAAGGATGTGACTGTCGTACCACTAACGGAAACCTCATTCTGTCACAGAGTATAAGTTTTAAAACATATCTGCCTCACTGTTCATTTTTTTTGTCACCCACAATGGTTGAGAATCCTTAATATTCCACATTTTTGCCATAAGTTAACTCAGCCTCCCTTGCATGTCTAACTTTGTACATAAGACTTTATTTATAACGTGGCGAAAATGCCACCAGACATGCGGGTAACCGAGGAACACTGGCGCTATTGGATCCTGTAATACAAGATAGTTGACAGGTGCTGGAAATAAGGGAAAATGATGTGCACGCAGTAGGACAAGGGCAGCACAACGTCAGGATATTTAAAGAATTCGTAGATGTCAGATTCTGACATGAATATGACCCCTTGTGGGCTCTGTACTCATTTATCAACCTATTAGGAATAATGTGCAATAATGATACTATGCACTATGTATTTGTATCCGTCAACAAGGCATGAAGGTCCATGTCACAGTGTCAAGATTAAACACCATGGCTTATTATTAAGCTGCATAATATGGTGAGATTTACAGTCAATACTGTAAAGTGTTTCTCCTCATCTGTGTAAGGTTTACATTCAACAAAATGGTGAAGTATTACGTGGCTTTTCCTGTGCTCGACAGTGAGAAGAACACTGAAAATCGTGAACGAACGGCAGGGGTGTGTCCGCTAGTCGGCCCGTACACGTACGGTGGAGACCGGGTGTTCATACCAAATGCTATCATTAGCACAGACCTCCCTTTATAGTCTGAACCAGAACAGACTGCCGCAGAACATCCATTACGAACCACGGTCACTCAGTACTGGGCGTTCGTGTTAACAGGGTGACCTTTTAGCCTGTATTTACTGTCGTCCCTGCCTGCACACACCACCGTGTAAAAGGCGATTTACAGGAATGAGTCACGAGCGGCACAGTATCAGTGAACGATGTGGTGATAGTTCATAAATTTCAAGAGTGATGGAGAAGAGTTATGTTTTTATTCCTCCTAAGGTTTCTAGGTTTTTGATTCACCCCCCCCGGGTGCCTTCTGACCTGCTGGTTTGGGGCAAAAAAATAAATATCTGAAGCTATATGCGTGGTCCTTGATATGGTCATATTCACATAAATAGCCCTTCCTAAAATAAACAAGGGTGACTCAAGCATTTTCTAAGGGGGCATACGAGGGCCAGTAATTCATAAAGAGTGGCCAACCTTATCATTTGCCAATGAAATGTTTTGAATCGGTGAGTGACAGGGGTGGGGCACTCCCGTGACCAATCAGCTTTCAGCTGGGATGAGTGCCCCTGTAGCCCCGCCCCCGTATACACCCTGGAAGCTAAGGGAACTGCTAGGCTCTGCTGTGAGGCATGGCCGGCCCCCGGTGGTGTGTGACTGCGCCTCTCCTTCCAGTACGGCATCAAGAAGCGGGAGGAGGCGGAGGCGGAAGCCCAGGCGGCCATGGAGGCCACTGAAGGCAGCCTGACCCGGCCCAAGCAGGCCGTCCCCAAAGGCTGCGGCGACGCCGAGGAGGAAGAGGAAAGCATTATGGACTCGGTCATGAAATACCTCCCCGGGCCTCTGCAGGACATGTTCAAGAAGTAATACCCCCCTACACCCCCACCCCAGGCAGCCGCTAGTGTTCCCATTCCTATCGCAGACTCCCCCCCACCCAGCCTAGAGACTTAGCGTGTAGATCAAATTTACAACTTACACACCCTTCAGCTGTTTATTTGTAAATATCCTCTGGTTTAGAGAAACAATGACAATACATGTACAAACAGCTCAGAGTATAAGCCATACTTTTACCTAATTTTTGCCGTTTATAATATTTATATATAAATATATATAAATATATAAATATGAACCTCCATTTTGTGCATCAATTGGCCCATAGCTGCCCCCCCCTCCCCCATCACACATACAGTGGGACACATGACTGCTCTCCGTGATGCTGTCTAGCACCAGACGGCCAGACGTTACACTTACTCTAAGGTTTCACAAGCAAATGGCGACGAATGGGCCCATTGTGAACAGCTGTACTCTTCCCCTTCGTTTTCTATTTTGGGGCAAATTCCAAGAGGACTTAAGGCAATAATTCTGGCCCTGGAAGTCTGTGTCTGGTCAGGGCCAGAGTAACAGGGGCACATTAACGTGCATTAATCACATCCATTAAGGACTGTCCTTCACGTCTCAGATGTGCGAGATTTCTGTCGTAAACACCGTCCTTTAAATGGCTGTCCGAGTGCAAACAGGAAGATGCTACTTTAGCAATCAAAAATGACACATTTTATCCCTTTTTCATTTTCATAAATGTAAATAGTTGCTATTTATTAGGAGACCTCTGATTTAGTCTGAAGTCTATTTCGACTCAGACGTTACAGAAACAGATGATGGTGCAATATAATTTCTTCTGAAGTCGTCCTTTAGCAGTCGCTTAATTATGAGAGAATGTAACCCTTAATCAGCAATAATGGGCTGTTTTTTTGTGCGAGTTAAGCTTGTTACGTAGAAAAATGGGTAATTAGCATTTCAGAGTTGTCTTCCTGTCATGGATATTGATCGATACTTTGGGACTGTGGGGCTCATTATGTACATCTTAATTAATGGCGGAACTTTCGGACAAACGTCCCTTTGATCGTTATAGATTTAGAGGTGGAAATAAGGAAATGAATGTTACTTGCAGTGAGTTTATGTATGGGAGTCTGCGTGGGGGCCATTAGTGCTCTGGATGAGTGTAAAGAAGGTGTTTATGTGTAGGATGTCAGCGGGTTTGATGGTGGAAATGCGTTGACCTGTTTGCGTTATTCGGTTGTGCCTCTGTAGCGGCTCTGTCACGTTTCTGTTAATCTCGCCATCGTTTGTTAATTTCATACCCTGTTTGTTTTGCGCGATGACGCATGAATAAAATGAATTTGCTCGTCATACTTGGGGGGCTGTTCCCATATCCGTCCAAATGGATTCCGGTGGACATATTCCATGTAAGAACCATCTTCCAGTTTGTACCTAGGTGTTGTACAGTGTCACTGCATGCCAGTGCAAAGCATCGTCTATCCCCTTAACATCCAGCACTGGAGAAAATGGTGCAGGGTCATTTAAACTCGACAAAATCACATCAAAGGAACATTTAGTGAAGCTTTATAATGCCATGACAAGGCAGATTATATGAAATTCAGTTATATTAAATATATGCAGTAGAAAAGAGTAACAGTGATCGGTAATAACCACTAATTTTCTGTGAAATCGCACCATTATCACGATACCTTTAGGCATAAATCAATGCAAAGTAAAAATGCTGGCAAACATTTTCATTTGTATTTCCAACATTCTGTACGAACCATCATAACACAGAATGTAGACACTGATCTATGGAAAGACCTCCCCCCTCAAACGGGTGAGCGAGCATTCCTTTCCACCCTGTCCCACCTTGGGTGACCTACTCCCTGGCAGGAGGGACACTATGAGCTACAGCAGGGCTTGTAAGCTACCATTTCAACCTAAAGGATTTCACTTTAGCACTTTAGTCCTTGCTGCGTGCTGATTGGTCAGTCTCCCACAATCATGCATGTGTTACTAATGTTAATGTGAAGCAGCTGGATGAATCTTTCAATCAAGGAAATAAACCAGCGAAAGTACAACATGAACCAAACAGTTTAGCTGAGTATGGGAGTCTTTCAGTTTTAAAATAGTTTGTAAAACCTGGAGTAGCTCATTGTCCTTCCTGACTGGGGTTAGGGGGTCATTTTCCCTCCCACTTTCTGCTTGCTTTCAGACTGGTAACTGTGACGTGCCATTTCATCTGAGATTATTAAACATGCGCCTGGTTCGTGTTCATCCCATCCAGGGTGAGCCGTGACTTCCGGGAGTGACTTCATGTTCTGGAAATCAGTTATGGCACACGTATGGATATTTAATGTTAGTCTTTAAATATTTATTACACCCGTTTTAGTTTGCACACAATGCATGAAATTGTGCAGATAAAACCACAGGCACCTACTTTGGTCCTGCTTCAATGAATGGCATTGTTTATATCTAATCATCGTTCAGAATTTTTCGTAATCGATTTGCAATTATGGAAAAATGGTGACTCTATATTATCAGTGGTGTGAGTGTGTGGTCTTCAATGGACTGAGATCCTGTCTAGGTTGCTTCTGTAACTTGTGCCTTTCGATAGGATTCAGGATAGATTGATGGATGTATTATATAAAAATTCTCTGGAATTATATTGCATAACTAAGAGTCTGGCATTATAGTCTTCATAGACATAATTAAGTTGGCATTTTCATCCATCCATCCATCCATCCATCCATCCATCTTCCAAACGTTCATCCTGATTTTTGCTTATTATAGAAATAAGTACAGTTATGAGTGGTTCATAAAACTTCTGGAGTGCTTGATGTCATGCGCTAGTCACAGTTTTGTTCCATTTGTCACTGATATTTTTATTCAGCCTCCATAACTCATGGATATCGACCAAGAAACACCCTCAAGTTTTGTGTTGTGCACATTACTCACTCGTCTTTTTTTTTTTAGAACTGAATGGAAAATGAACATTTATTTTAAGTGACTTAAATAAATGACAAATAAATGAGTAATGTCACGGTGAAGCACTGTACAGTGTGTCCTCACATCACAAACAGGATTTAACTTTTTTGAGACAACCAGAAGTTTGTCCCAGCATCTTCCGACTGTTTCTGCGAGACTTTAAAAGTCTGTCGTCAGTGGGCGGTCATCCGTGTGACATCTTTTTTTTAAGTTTTAAAGCTTCTCCCAAAAAGCCTAACAGACACCAACCCACCACAGGCATGACGGTCACTGCCTGCTTAGCCGACGGATGGGAAATGTCACCACAGTGTTTATTCCTGGCTGTTTCTCTAACAGGGGATTCAGCCCATTCAGTCCATGAGCATCTTACGTTTTAAACCAGAATCCAGATCCCCGAAACCATCATAACGAAGCAGACCACTGACACCAAAATGTTCCCTTGCTGTGCCCTGAATGTAATGTCTACTGTTTCACTGCGATGTCCATAAATGTTCCCCTATATGTTTAGAAGACAGGTGTATTTTTTCCGTGTGTAAATGTTTCTGTCCTTGGTGCCCGTTTGAAAAAAAAAATGTGTAGTTTGTGCTTCATTTTGTATTGCTCTCTCTCGCTCTCTCTCTCTCTCTCTCTAACTCTCTCCTGTTTACACTCACAAGCATGCATGGTGTACTCCTGCGGCCAGTTTTGTAAGATACCTCTGTGCGTCTTCTGTGTTTAAACTGCCTGTGAGCTTTCACCGCATGCCATCCAGACAGGTCATTCAATGGTGTAATCATCGCACACCAGACAAAAAAAAAAAAACAATAAAGTGATTTTATATGATAAGTCCGTCTGCTGTCTGAGTCACGTAGCCACTCTCGCTTCCACAGGCGCTGGGTCTCACGCCCCTAAACAATCAGCACTGTTAGTTCTCTTGGGATCACTAAGACTGCAAAATGAATGCTGCTATCTGCACAAGATGCCTCATTTAACAGAGTTTCTGGTCTGAGTTTATTACCGCTTAGAACGTGCTTGGGATGCGAAGGCCAGTGTTTAAAACTCTCATGATTTTAATCACAGTACATGCGCTCGCTTTTGAGACTTTGGTAAGATAAGACAATGGATCTCTATGCTGCTAGATCAGATCATTGTAATGGTTTCATCCTTATTAAATGGTTAAATCGGAAACAGTGTGGTGGACGGATTCAGTATTTCCCGTGTACATGTTCTCATGTAAAACTTCAAGGGAATCAGGATTATTTTTCACCTTGCAGCAGAAAACAGAGCTTCCTCGAGTCTTGTTTACTGCGAGCATTTTCAACATCAAAAGTGAAAATGACTGAGAATCCCTCAGAAAAAAACAAAGCACTATTTTTTTGGCCGAAGACACCCATAGAGTAGAGCATGATTACCCCGCGATGCTTGGTGGTGACAGTTACACGGCAGCGGATGGATCTGTCTGGTCATGTGATTGCAACCGTTTGGATCTCTTAGGGTGCGTCTGAAACTGAATACTTACACAGTATGTACTGATTTTAGGGAAAAGCCTACTCAGCTGTTAAGGTAGTATGTACTGATTTTATGTAGATGCCTACTCAGCTGTTAAGATAGTATGTACTGATTTTAGGTAGATGCCTACTCAGCTGTTAAGGTAGTATGTACTGCATGTTTGCATGAGAACAGTTCACATGTCCTTGGACATACTGCAGTCGCTGTATTGCATATTATCTGACCTGGATGTTTACCAATGACGTAGCTTTACTTCTGTGAAAATTAGAAACTGCTACAAACTATCAATGAAAAAAATTACATATTCGAGTCAACTTATATAACCAGATATTGTTTTCTACTGACATTTGTACTGAGAAAAAATTCCTCCTGCCATCTTGACACAAATGTGTGAGTAAGTGACATTCTCCATCTCTGGTCGCAGCTCCAGCGGCCTTGTGGGACAGCGTAGGGTCCATCGGTGGCACACTTTGGAATGTCGCAGAATGTACTGTCATCTGAGTACGAGTCGCCTACTGCCTCATCCATACTGTGGATTCAGACACACTGCTCACGTCACATACTATATTTTGCCTACTACAAAGCAAATAAGTTTGCGATTTTGGACACAGCGTTACTCGTGACTTGTGAGCGACAACTTGACAGGAAGGGCCAGAATGTGTAGGTAAATGTGAGCATTGCAGACTGCACGAAGACATTGGACAAGGACCTTAATGTGAGGTAAAGCCATCTATAGTTATGCCCATTTACGTTGAAAAACGTCTCTGAGGAGGTGACTGGAGGCAGATTTATGGCTCACAAGCCGACCTACCCTTAAGTCACAAGTGGAAACCACTTCAGATGCATTACAACAGATCCTTCTCTTGTCCTGAATAAAGAGAAAGTCACCCTGAACATATCAGTGAACTGCCAAGTCCAGTTTCATAGCTTATCACGTCGAAACACTAATCCAGAACAAGGCACCAAATCCATCTCCAATTTAAATGGTTTTCATCCGATTTTCCAACTTTCCAAATTTGTGTCTTTAATTAGCGGATGGTAATTTAACAGAGTGCCTGTTTCAATCTGATCACAAAGCAAGTAATTGTCTCCCCGTGAGTCATTCATCTTTGAACATCACTGGGATGTTTTTCTACTAGTCTGAAACCATGGAGCCCTCCATGCTGAAGAGCCTTGTAGGAGAGACGCTCACAAACAGACCTTTTATTAACATCTCAGCCATCCAATGTGGAGAGCATCATAAATACATGACCATGTTTTACAGGTGTCTACAGGCATAGAATCCAAACTAAGGATGTTCTCATAGTTTCACAGCTGGTATTCTGTTCTCCAACTTTAGACTCATCATTACTTTTCATCTTCTATTAAGAACATCCATCCATCCATCCATATGTCCGTCCGTCCGTCCGTCCGTCTTCCGTACCTGCTTATCCTATTCGGGGGGGTCTGGAGTTCCTACAAGGGTCATCTACTAACACCACACTTCTGTTTTTACAATGACGGCCATTTTTTAATTATCCAGGCTCTCTTTAATAACTTTAATATGCTTGCAAATTGCACATAAATTGGTCCCATTTAAATAAACTGTAGGAGCAACTACATTTATATTAATTAATAAATGGATGCGGAATAGTCATGAATTCATGAAATACATTTTTCTCCTGAAATTTTCAGTTTGTCATAGCAATTACAGCCAAATTTCTTTGAGCACGAGTTTAGATAAATTAATAACAGGATATAAATAGCTTTAGGTTTTGGTTTTTGGAAGCAGAGGAACAGCATGATCTTCGTGATGCAACAGACCAAGCTGAATGGGTTTGGAATAGTGAAGGCCAGTGCAGAGTTTACCTTGAAGAATTTAATCATTTATTATGGATGCGCACCTGCACCCCGCCTCTGTAAATACAGGCACTATGACGAAGGAAAGCATCTTCCATTCACTGGGAGTCCAGAGACGTGGATCTTTATGTCATTTTCAGGTATTTTAGTCCCATAAACCAAGCAAAGACTCCTCAAACAGCCTGCTTGGATCAGCAGCAGCTGCAGATAATCAAAGCCTAGTCCCTCCTTTCTGCCCAAAATCCACAAAAAAGGGTCAGACGTTCGGTTTATTTTTCCGATATGAGAATATGTGAATCCATATTGGGAGCTGCTGTTAGGGGCAACACGACTGCAAGTGCCTCTAGAATCAGGCTGTTGGCTGCTGAAAGGTCCCCAGTATGTTGCTGAAAGAGATCAGTAGCAGTGAAGCGTTTCAGCTGCATATTAACATACAATCTCAAAGACATCAAAAGCAATAACAAGTGGCGACGCATAGGGAAGGTACTGATTTTTTTCTTTATAAAGGACCATTCAGGTGTAATCAGCAGCCAGTGAGCGTGTCTAGCAAGCCGAGAGGATAGCAGTGATTCACTGCCTGAATCCTGTAGACTCAGATATGCAACACTGAGAAGCGTGCAAATGCGAGAACGCTGCAGTGATCAGAGCTTTATCCATCCTGGAGAAACACAGGCATGCAACATTAAGGTAAGGTTGGCCCTCTTTGCCAGGGCCTGGGAGGAGTGCAGCATGGACTGGAAAGAAGGAAAGATCCTATGATGCAACCTGAGAGTTATTAAGGCCAAAAGCAATTCAGCTCTGTTTATTTACTGTAGTGCAATTTCCGTCCTATTACTTTTAGTAGGACTGTCTGCATGCAGTTACATGCATCTTAAACGTCACTGCAAATTGGGCAGGACATCCCAGTGATGATGAGAAATTACACGACCTTGGGGACATAAGAACGCAGCCAGCAATTAAACACCCACGCCAGGATAATTGGTTACCATCTATCATTGCGTGTCGACTCTTCAGGCTGGAGTCTTCGTCATGACGAGAGTGCCAGCAATTATTAAGCACAAAAACAACAGTCTGACTAAAATGCAAAATCATGGAGACCTTCCTCACTTCAGGGACTGGAGCGGATCTCAGACGCAGGCAGGGGTGATGAAATCCAGAGTCTGGTCTGGCTTGCAGACCATTTCATTTCTCCAGATCCCCTTGAGATCATTTCCCTGTGACACGGAGAGTAATGGAAGACTGTGAAATATTAATAAATGCCCTACTGCAAAGATTGTCCCTTAACCCCACTAGCAGAATATCTTTTGAAGGCTTTATCTGTCGGTTCTGACAGGAGGACTAACTGGATTCATTCTCGATTCTCACAAAGTCTCTGTTGTTTGTGAAATCTCAGTGTGAGAGTGTGACGTACAAAAAATAGGAACCAACACCGGGCAAAACGGCGTGTAAGAGTCTCAGTAAACATAAACCTGTCAATGTGCAAGACATTATCAAAACATCTCTAAGCAAAGCAGTAATCGAAATGTCATGGTTGAAAATGAACTGAAATTGAATAAAAATTAAATAAATGCAGTCTGACATAAAAAAAGAAATAGTGACACTGAATGTGTTACCATGATCCAGGGGTGTCTATAAGAATTTCTGAACACATTCATAACACATTATAATGCATTCATAAAGCATTATAAACATGGCTATAAATATTTACAAAAAGGCATAACACATTATAGCCATGTGTATTACGCATTACGAATGCTTTATGAAGCTCTCATCTGTAATGCACTACCTATACTTTTATAATGCAGTACAAAGCATCCTTAATGCTTATACCGACCATTTTAATGCATTATGAAGGTATCTATAGTGCATTACAGATGAGAGCTTCATTGGAGCATACTGTATGAAAGGTTATAATCAACACTATAATGCCTTATGACTGTCAATAGAAGATGCAGTAATGCTTTATTAATTCTCATACTGACCATTATAATGCATTATGAAGGTATCTATAGTGCATTATAGATGAAAGCTTCAAGTAAAGTGTTACCAAAAAAATTTCAGGTGGATATAGATTGAGCAGTCAATCCCCTGAGCAGTCAGTAGCGCATCAGATTCTTTGGGCTGCTGTGTGGCTCAGTGGATTAAGACTGTGCCTGTGAGCTGATGGATGCGGCTTCAGATTCTGTGGCTGGCAGATTGATTTCACTGTGGAGTACTTAAGCAAGGCCCTTATCATCCAGTTACTCAAGGGAGCAGCTGACGCTACTGTCTCAACTGTACATTGCTTTGGATCAGAGCGTGTGCTAAAAAACATGTTTTTTAATAATGAGTTTATACTGTAGTATGGCTGATACAGGGTGCAGCTGACATGGGATACCAGCCCACAAACACAAGCACACACACACACACACACACACGTGTAACCTGAAGACACCAGTCAGCAAGCTTTGGACAGCGGGAGAACATAAGAACATAAAAAATTTGTTTCCTCAAATTTG